GCCCTCTTGCAGCTGGCTTGGTTGGGCTAGAGGTGGGCAGTTGGCTGAATCTGATGTTGGCTGGGTTAGTATCCCAGATGTAGAAGTGTGGTGCTTCATGTTTGCTGACTGGCTCTTTAGGGAAAAACTGTGATGGTGACTCCAGCTTCATGGGTGTGTTGCCTGCATTGACATCCCTGGCTGACAGCAGGGGTGGTGGCACAGGTGCCATTGGAGCCCCTGGGATCTGCAAGTGCCAAGGCAAGGGGAGAGCATGTGGTGGAGAGATGGCACTGGGGCAGCAGAACTGGGGTGGGGGAGGATAGTGCTGTGTGCTGAGCAGCCAGGCATGTTCATGGCTTGCTGACCACTCTCTTTGTGTCCCTAGACTTCACCTGCCCCACAAAGGTGTCTTCCCTTGTCTCCAGGGCAGCCAGCCCAGCCGATGGGGATCCAGGAGGATAAAGCACCGGCCAGCGGTGTATACGTATGTGGTATTTTTATTGGCTTGCACAGGCTGTGCAGTCCCAGCAGCTACCGCAACGTTTCTTTTCAAAAGCTCTCCTCCCTCCCACCCACGTCTCACCCCACTTCACCCTCATGTGTCTGTACTAACCAAGGCCACTGAAAGTCAGGCTGCTTGCCTCATGCCTGTGTCACTAACTTTGTTCTAGAGGTAGCTTGCTACTTGACTTTGATTGACTAACATGGCAGATTCTGTTTTGCTGGAGTTTGGATTGAAGGTCAGTTGAGCTCTTCCTCCTCTATGTCCCAGCCAGTGTGGGCATGAGCACCTAGACCCAGTACATGCTGAATGCTTGTAAGACCTAAGGTGACAGCACTGAGGGTGGTTTAGCTAAATTATTAAATTAAATAATAATACATGATAAAATTTAGCTGAAGCAGTCTCAAGTTCAGTAAGGCTATGACTGCCAGAAATGGTGGAAAAACAGGTCCTGGGAGACAATCACCATTACTGGGATGTAGTTGCTGTGTGGGAGCCAGTTCCTAGGCTAGCCATGGTGTTTGGGCTAGCCATTACCTCACTCACAAGTGCTCCTGAGGAAATGTGGAGGGAGGGACAAATTCCTGTGTTCTACTCCCGGATCCCTATGCCTTGGTCTTTGTAGAGCAGCGAATCAGCCTGGCCAGGATTTGGCTGCACGTGTGTGAGTGCCACAGTGGAAGACCCTTACTGCTCTTCCTGGCTTCTGCTACACAGTTTCCCTGCATGGCATCCCGGGCCTTATTGAGTTTGCCACTCAGTCTCTTGTTTGTCTGATGTTGTAGACACAAAAATCTCCCAGGGCTGTTTGGGAGTCCTGTGGTTGGAGGTGTTGGGAGCAGGAGGCCGTTCGTGCTCTTCGTAGGGGAGGTGAATGGGTTTTGGAGAGATCCAAAGAGCCGTGCATTGAACACCAGAGGGCACGGTCGCTCTTCAGAGCTCTGGTGCTCTGCTGTGCAACTCCAGCCCTTTCCCTGCAGCTGACTTCTGCTGGGTGTTGTGACACGTCCCTTCTGCAGGGTTGCTGGCCTTGACTCATCGCTCCTGGTTTTGCTTTCCTCCTTTCTGCAAGAAAGGGGTTGGCAAAACATCTGCATAGAGCTTTTTTTATGTTGCTGTGGCTGAAGTGGCTGGTGAGCTTGATGGTTTAAACTGGTCAGCTGCTACCATGGGCTGGCTGTTGCTCAGAGGCAAGCTCCAGCCAAGGCAGCTGTCAGCCAACTCCCCACAGCACAGGCTTGCATGTCCTGGTACCACACAGAGCCTCATAATGGCACCCACCCAACTTCTGCACCTGGAGTCTGGGTCATTCCTCCCACACCACAAGTCTCTGAAGCACCCAGTGTCTCTGTGGGCATGAGAGGAGGAGCTGAGAAACTCAGGAAGCAGAGCAAGGCAGCCCTGTGTTACTGGTCTCTGCTAAAGTGCTAGTGCATTCCAGGAAGGGAGACAGTGGTTTGCTCTCTTCATGAGCATTGCTTCTTCCCCTCTCTGAAGGATGATGGGAGAAAAAAGCCCATCAGTGATTCTGGCAGATGTGGGGATGTTGAGATGAAAGAAGAAAAGGAAGCACATAAGACCAGATATGCTGAGGGCATTTAGAACAAAAAGGGTGGAGGATAAAAAACCCCAACATTTCCTCCTGCCCTCCCATTTGTTGCAGTGGGACAAGCTGACATTCAGCAAAGCCAAGAAATAATAGATTTAACATTGTTAAAAGAAGTTACTTCATTTTTGATATGAAGTGTGGGAGAAAAAAACTTGCTGCTATGAGGTGAAAAAGTGAAACCAAAGGTTAGACATTATATCAGTAACAGGGTCACAGCTAACAAATGCCACTTGTGTGGCATGTCAGCATGTGCTTTGCTTAGTCACGGGGTCATGATGAAGGCTTGGGAGGTGTCTTTCCTGTCTCAGGCTTTGTGGTGTAGAAAGGTCACTGGGGACTGGGTTTCTCAGGGATGCTGAGCAGTTCTCCCCCTTGCAGACAACTGCAGGGGCTGCCACTTGTGATGTGGTTTCAGGTGCGTGGGACCAGGATCTCCTCACATGGAAAGTCTTGCTCAGGGCTGTGTGGGCCTGGGGAGCCTCTTGGCCTGGAGCAGTGGTTTCTGCTTGAACACAGCAGACTGAAACCTGTGACAGCAGCATTGGGAGCCTCTGGTCTCCATCACAACCCATTCACCTGTCTGCATGTTAACAGGCTGAGGGCTTACTAAGTCACAGAAGTAGGAGGAGAATGGCAGCAAGGTCTGCATGACTGAACTTGAGGAGAGGGCTCTTAGGCTTCCTGCTCCTGCTGCCTCCAGGGACTTGGAGAATTAGTGCCCTGGTCTCTTGGTGGTCAGATTGACTTGGAAGGGATTTTGGGGCCACCTGGAATCCACTGTGCTCACCCTTCCATGGTGTTTCCATTGCTAAAAATTGCTGTTTTCATTTGTCAGTCCAGGTCCTGCCAGCCCAAGAAGGAGATAGGATTGTGGTGACTGTGAAGAGCAGCAAGTGGTATCAGCAGGAGTCTCTGCTATGCACAGACCACAGAGGACAAGAAGAGCAGGGTGGGCATGGGGCAGTTGGAGACAAGCTGGAAGCTTGAACCGTCTCTGGAAGTGTTCAAGGCCAGGTTGGATGAGGCTCTGAACTACCTGGTCTAGTGGAAGGTGTTCCTGACTATGGTAGTGGGGTTGCGATGAGATGCCCTTTAAAGTCTCTTCCAATCCAAATCATTCTGTGATTCTGTGCTAAGCTTCCTTGGCTGGAGGTGGGGCTGATGAGGAACTGCGCATATCTCTTATCAGGCTACTTTGCTCTGGATGATTGACTAGCTGCAGCACATCTTTAATTTTTTCTTTGATAAAACATCCTGCCAGTCCCAGTGAGTCTTAACAATGATGGACTGGAGCCTGTTCCTAGAGCCTTTCTGCAGCTGGCAGCATAGCTGCCCTGGGGCTGTGACAGTGCTGGGACCTGCTTGACCGCTAGTGGCAGCTGGCTCTTTCCCGGCAGTGGGAAGGGAATTCTGAAGGATGTGTAGATACCCTGTGTAGGGAAGGAGGCAGAACCTTCCATCCTTCATCAGCTGGCAGTTTTGAGGGGGGAGAGGACTGAACGAGGTGAACACCTCCTGCCTGCCCTGGGTATCTCCAGTTCCCTTTCCTTTCTGGTGTTGTGAGGAAAGGGATGAATGAAATCCTCAGCAGCTTTGGCAATTGATAGGTTTGCTTATCTGTCCTCCCCACCCCTCTCTCACACTCAAAGACCACTTGCTCTTTCTGCCACGATGGAGATGACAGCAGTAGTGGTATTTCAGCCTTTGGACCTGGCTACCTCTGGGGAATGGTTTCCTGTGAGCAGCTTTCAAGACACCCATTGGGGAAGGCAGCAGCTGCCTTTGTCACGCTGGCTGCTGCCTCTCTGACATTTTGTTAGGATCGTGTTATTGTAGTCCCGCTCCAGGCCCCAAGGAGCACTGGGCACCGTCCAAACACACACACATTCCTACACACAGAGGAGAAGAGCTGTCTAATTTTAGCCATGACATGTAGGCAAGGGGAAGGGGCGGGCAGGGTATGAGAGGAGAGATCTCGGCTGCAGCCATCTGCACTGACTCACTCACTACGGCCTGTGTGTGACTATCGCCCGGGTAAATGACTGAAGTAACAATAACTGGTGACAGCATTGCAGAGTGAGCTGGCCTTTGGCGTGACCTTCCCTTCATCTCTGCAAAAACCAAAGAGGAGACAGGTTTTGTGGTCCCAAAAGGGAGATGGGTTGTGTTTGGCTGGGAGCAGATCCCTAGAGGCAGCTGGGGAAGCCGGACAGTGGTGAAGCATGACGGGGAAGTCCCCAGCCTGGCTATGAGAGGTCCCATGGAGGGTTTTCACGACGAGGGAAGACCAGAGCTCCTGAGACATCTGTGGAGCCTGCCTGGACTAAAGAGTAACTCAGAAGCAAGTTACCTCCTGTGCTGCATGAAAACAGACCCTCTGTGGCTGGTGGCTTGACTCTCATCAGCCATGCAAACCTCTTTATCCGAGTTCCAAGGAGGCAGGAGAGAATCGCCACTTCGGCACGTTCTCCCCGTGTCCTCCTACTGCCGCTGCCAGGGAAGCTGCGCCATCCCCGAGCTGCAGCTGAGTGTTTGGAGAGCATTGGTGCCGTGGGGACCCCTCTCTTTCCGGCCCGCTGTGGTGCATGCGCCTGTGGGCGAGCCAGCCTCGGGGCTGCCTGCTCGGAGAGGAAGTGCAGTTGGCTATTTTAACGAGAGCAGCGTGGGGAGGAGCGGAGGGAGAAGCCAAGCACTCTCTCCAAACTAGGACTCACTAGGGGAGGGCTGGCCCGTTGCTGCGGCGCAGCCATTGCCACCCACTCGGCACCTGCAGGACCCCTGCACCGCTCCGGATCAGGTCACGGGGGCTTTTTCCCACTCTCTCCCCTTTCCATGTCCCTATCCCTCACGCTTGCTGCTTTTGTTTGTGCTGGATGGGGGATGGGAGGGGACCTGGGGGGAGAGACAGCCCTTAGTTTGTAGGTATGGCATTTAGTTCGAGACCACTGTGAAGGGCAGGGGGAGCAGACCCCAGAGTCATCCCTAAGACCCTCAAGTTTGCTTCTGTCATGTCCTGTTTGCTGCCAGAGCCTGGAGCAAGTCGATCCACAGCAGTCCCCAGGGCTCAGGCGAAGGGTCTGCAAAACACAGGCTCCGTGCCACTGAGTGGTGCCTGCCTGCTGTTTCTGCGGGGTTGCTCTGCCAGTGGTGTATTTCTAGCTACCCGTTCTGCTGCTTTCGTCCTGCCACTCCATGTGGCATGGGGGTGGCCGCAAGAAATCTGCAAGCAGCAGAGGACAGGGAGCTAGCCTGCGCCTTGCCAGGACACTTAGTACTAAGTTACTTTGCTTTGGGATAGCTTAGGAAAGCAGGACAGATTTGTGGAGTCCTGGCATATCCTCTGGTGCTGGTGGCACTGTGATTCCCTGCTTATGCCAGAAACAGTGGGATGCCCTTCCTGATCCCTGCTATGGGCTGGAGGGAGGCAGCAGTGATCAGTACATGTTGTATAGTGTCTGAGGTTTTCTTGACTTTGCTATGGGAGGTGCAGAGACTTGCTAGCTCTGGGAACCACTGTTTGTGTTTTGTATCTGCCACACTGTGGCTTTGTTGTTACTCAAGGTTCATCTCTCCTCCCTGGGGTTGCTGCCCCGGGCAGACGCTGTGTGCCGCCCTGCCTGGGGCAGCACTGTGGCCGGTAGTAACTTCTGTGTCAGGATTTTGTCCTTGTGTGCTGGGGAAAAACTCTGGGGCTGCTCTGGAAGTTTGGATCCATCAGCTGGGCTGTGGGACTGGCCACCCTTTAAATAATGTGCTCCTCCTTGTGAGGAACAGAGCTGTGTATACTGAATGAGGGGACCATCACTGGGTGTGAATAGGAATCTGCAAAAGAAACCATGGTCTGAGTACCTAAACCACCAGGACACCCTCGCTGAGGCCCCTGCTGCTTGGCTTCATGCATGTCACTCTGGAAAGGAAGCTCAGAGAGAGAGAGAGAAGAAACTTTCAACTCCTTCCCAGCCTGCATCGCTGGTCCTGCTGATGGGACCAAAATAGAAACTGTGTGGCCAGCCTCTCCCCCAGCCCCTGCTCAGCCTCAGCCCCAGGACCATGGGTGACGTGTTGGCTCACTCTCTGCATTTCAGCCCTGGTTAATTCATGGCTCAAGGCTGTCAGTCTTGCTGTTTGGCTCCTCAGCCAAATCAGCAGATTGTTTATATCAGTGCTGTCAGGTTTCTTGATTGCCGGGAGGCAGATTATTTACTGTAGTGGCATATAAACTTCATAACATTATGATGGTAGAAAGTTGTCAAGGGATATAAATGCCCAGAGTCAGCCCAGGAGGCTCCAAGGAGATGGTTTTGTTTTAAATTAAGATAAAACACTGTCTTCCATGGATTTTGGAAAGGAAATCACATTGTTGTAATGGGAACATTACTGTGAATGTTAGGGCTGGCAAACTCTTTACTTTATGAAGTCTTTGTAGAGGATCTGAGCTACTCTGGCAGATGTGCCTTAAAACAGAGCTCATGTCTGCCCTGAGAAGGTGGTGGAAAAGGAGATGGCATCATGCAGAGCTTGGGGTGAGGTGGGATAGAGCTGCCACAAGAAGGGTGTTGGGAAAATGCTAGGAACTGTATAAAAAGTCTCAGTCCCTTCTGCTTCCAGCTCCTGTTCTTCCCAGAAAACCAAATGTGAGCATTTTCTTGTGGAGGGCCAGGCATGAAGGTGGGATGGCTTTTGCCTTGCTTTGTTTGAGGTATGGCTAGGCAGTGTCCTTCCACCTGCCTCTGCCACTTGGAGAAGCCTACTGTGACAAACTGTCAAACTGTGGTGTTTCATTTCTTTGCCTTGCTACGATCGTCCCCCGAGGCAGCTGCCGGTCCTTGGTGTTGCATCTGTCACCCTGACTTGCTCATTTGAAGAAAGCATCTTAGAAGTTGTATCTCCTCCTGTGATGTTCCCAGCTCCTGACTGGCTGTGTAGTTGTGCTCTTGTTCAGCCAGGTATAAGATGAATACAGAGAGTCTACGCTGACATAGCTGCCTGTCCCTTGTGAAGCAGTGCTGTGCTGGGACCTCCAGGCTGGCCACCCAGAGTGCCCAGTGACACTGACAGTCTTCTGAGCAAGTTGGCAAACATACTTGGGTATTGCCAGGGGTGCCTTCCTCTCATGTCCATGCCTGACAGGGACCTCTATGCATCACGTGCAGGACCTCAGGGACCACAGGGCTGGGAGGAGGTCCTCTGCACCTGCATGCATCTGACCACCAGCTGGTTTCTAAGCACTTGCCTTGCTTTCTGACTAGCATAGAGGTCTGAATTCATCTTGATCAGGCACAAGAGTCACTGATAGATAAGCTGAGATGTGTCGCCCTCTGAGTACCCTGCTAGGATCAGAAACTGGCTTCTGCAGCTTGGAGGGGCAACCTTATGGTTGCAGCAGTAATCCCTTCCTCTGCAGGGTGACAGTGCAACTGAGGATGTGCTTGTCCTTGCTCGGGGAATACCATGCTCCTGCAGCTCAGAAGCCTGGAAGGGGCCCATATAGGTGGTGGCACTTGTTGCAGTAGGTCAAATATATGAATCCTAAAATATATGAGCATAGCCCATAGCTCACCCCTCATGGTGCTTTGAAAGGCTCGTGGTTTGGATGGAGCCTCCCTGCCCCTGTGCTGAGGGGAGCCCCATCTCCTTGCTTATACTGGACCCAGTGTGGGGGAGTTCCTGCCTCTGTTTTATTTATTGTGTGATGGTAGGAGAGATGACAGCTGGAATGGAAATTCTGAGTAGGAACAAAATGCATAGTATGGGAACTTGCTGATCACTGCACACCTCACTGCAACCAAAGCCTGAGGGCTGCACCACACCTTGACCAGCATTTTCCCTTCCCCATCTGGCACAGGGGCACCTTCCTCAGCAGACCTCATCTGTGCACATTGCTCTTGTAAGGTCAGGGAAGCCTGGCTGGGGAGTCCCAGGGAGAGGAGAGGTCAGTAATGATGTGTGGGAAGCAGAACAGGAGAGCAGGGACAGGATCTCAGCAGAGGTGGCGTAAGAACAGTAGCCTACATGGAAGATTGAATATCAGAGCACTGAAAGGGCATTGTAGGTTGTGCAAGCTTGTGATGGAAACAGAGGCTGAAGGCAACCAGCGGTGTGCCAGCGGGGTGGGAATGAGCAGCAGCACTCTGGATGGGCTTCTAGGTCCCTCAGTCCCTCCAGTGCCCTGTCAGGGACAAGGCAGGGAGGAGGCACGGAGATCTTGCTGTCACATAGGAGTGGCTATTAATAACACAATTTCCTTGTGGCTGGTCTGTACAAGTCAAGTGTCTTTGCCAGGAGAAGACAGCTTGTAAACTGAAGTGGCCTCCTGCTCACACTCTGCCAGCTCTAGTGCCACAGCAGCTCCACAGCACCCACAGCTAGCCAGAACGCAGGAATCCAGCCAGCTGCCATCCGGACAGGTGCTCGTCATGGAACAGGGCAAAGCTCTCAGATTTGTTTCCCTGGCAGTCCCGTGGTTGGAAAAAATGCTTTCCAGTTGACTAACTGGAGGTTTGCTGAAAGGTCAGGAGGAGCTGATGGTGTTATTATGTCCAGATTTCTCTGTGGCTCAAGGCTTGTGCATTTGGTACCAGCAACATTCTGCAGTAGGGTCCTCTTGCCTCCTTTGGTGCCAGGAGAGGGGTGCCAGATTTGTCACTCTGTGAAGGTAACCTGAGATCTCTCTTGCTTCTGGGCACTGGCAGGAATAGACCAGGCTGGTGGAGGGACAAAGGGAATAATAATGTGGAGGAAGGGCCAAGAGGGTATATGGAACAGGATCCCTCTGCCTATCACAGACAGCCTGTTAAGTATGGTACATGGGAGTTTGCTCAAGGCTAGTGAAGCAAAGCAGAATAGTGGAGCTGAATATCCAGATTCTCTTTGTGATGTGGGCCAAGATTATGTCATGGGGGACACTGCATGTTCAGCCTGTCTGGTTTTGGAACTGCCATCACCAAATGAGGGGTAGCTGCTGGATGTCTGGAGAGATGTCTCTATAACAGCTGATTCACAAGCTCTGTGTCCACTGTAGTTACAAGATGCAAGTTTTAACTCTTCAATCCCTGCTGTGTTTTCCAAGATGGTTTAGGTCTTGATGGGACATGTTCCTGCTTCAGCAGCATCTCTGCATTGAGGCCAGGTAGGGTGTGTAGGATGCTTTGAGGAGTCTGGTAGTAAAAAACACCCCAACTTTCAAGAGCTTTGATTGCAGATCATGAGCAGACCAGAGCTGCTGTCTCCTTCCTTATTCACAGAAGGAGATTGAAGTGATAGTGCATATCTGCTCATAAATAGAGTTGATATCCCAGTACATGAAGCAGTACTTCCTTTGCACCCTGCAAATGCCAGGCTGCCTTGATCCAGCCTCCTTACCTGAGCCGAGTAATGTGGTCTACAGAGCAGCCACGGGTGCTGGCTCCTCTCCATCTTTTCTCAGTGACAAACCATGGAGATGCCAGAAATGTGCTGGTGTTAGGCCTGGGGCTTCCAAGACAGCTCTTTTCGGGCTCCTCTCTGTCTATTGCATGGTTCCCCAGCTGCTCTGCACACAGCTCTGCTAATGCATATCAACCATGGCCAGCCCCAGCAGTTCATCCATCTGCTCCATCAGCAGCATCTCTCACACCTGCAATACCCCATTTGGAGCTCAGGTTGGAAGTGAGATGCAACAGGTGGGGATACGTACACCCATCATATCTGAGCTGCCACATGCTGCTGTCATGGGCTGTCTGATGGCAATCTTGTAATAACCTTCACCACTGGTGGTCAGAGCTTGATTCCATGTGCCATTTACAGGCAGCCCTGAGGATAAAAAGGTCCTCAGTCAGCTAGTGCTCAAACGTAAATGTCAAACCAAGGTTGTTCTAGCAGATTTCCTCATGAGACTGGTGCAAAAAGGAAGGAAGCTGTGTTAAGAGATCTTCCTGCCCACAGCAGCAACACAGTAAGCAGTGGAGCAGCTTTGTGCTGGTGGAATATCTGGGTTAGGAGGGAACAGCCATTCAGCTCATTTGGGGTGCCTTTGGTCAGTATGTCTCCCCCAGGAGCTAAAACTGGCCAAAAAAAGTCTGTTGCAGTGTACCACATCCCATGTTCTCACTTGTGTTTTTAAATATGTTTTATTTTTTCAGACAGTTTTTAATACCTGTTGGTGAGGATGCTCACCGGCAGCCATCTGAACATGATCCAGAGTGTGCCAGGTGGCTATGAAAGCCAACAGCATCCTGGCCTGTGTCAGTAATAGTGTGGCCAGCAGGACTGGAAAGTGACTGCTTCCCTGTACTCAGCAGTGGTGAGGCCACACCTCAAGTGCTGTGTCCAGTTTTGGGCCTTCCTCCTGTCACTGAGGTGCTGGAGCACATCCAAAGGACAGTACAGCTGGTGAAGGGTCTATAGAACAAGTCTTAGGAGGAGCGGCTGAGGAAGCTGGAGGCTGGTGGGAGACCTTATTGAGCTCTATAACTATCTGAGAGGAGGTTGTAGCAAGGTGTGTGGTCAGTCTCTTCTCCCAGGTAACAGGTGATAGAACAAGAAGAAATGGCCTCCAATTGTACAGGGGAAGTTTAGATTCTCTGATCTATGCTGTTTACTGTGCATCATCCTGCAGATAATATGGAGAGGGTACATGAATGGAGCACTGCAGTGTTTGGAACAGGCTAGAAGCAGGGTCATCAGCAAAATACTGATGCCCTCCGCAAAGCTGCATGGGCCTTGGGTGGATTAAACCTTTTGGTGACCAAATACCTGCCTACATTGCTTGCAGTGGTAGGACTTGAGAAAGATTTCTGTGGAGTATTTCTGAGGAGGTGTTGTTTTGGCTTTGCTTTCAGTTCAGCCAGGCTTTGGCTGCCCTGATACTGCTCTCTGGAGGCCATTGCTTTCCTTCCTTCCTTCCCGCCTCCCTCCCTCCCTTCCTCACTCCTCCCTCCCTTCTTCCCCTACATTACTGAGTACATGGATGGTGATAAGCCTATAGAAACTGAAGAGCTGGCTTCCTTGTCTGCAAGGGTGAAGGAGACCAAACCAAGCTTGTCTTTTCCAAAAATACAAACTCACCTTTGTACTTGTCTATTAAAAAGAGGTACAGCCCAATGGGCTGCTTGTGCTACAAGCACTATCAAAAACTCAGTTTTGTCCAGAAGATAAAACCTATGTCCCATCTTACGTGCATTTCCCAAATAAAAAGGGAAGAAGCTTCTGATAAATTCACTTGTTTGTGTGGGCCTCGGGTCACTGGAATTTTGGGCCAGAGTGATCTCCTGAAGGTTCTCTGATATTACTGACCCATAAGAATGTAAAAGAGCATGGGAAGAGAGGAAGGTAGAAGAAGGGGAGGAGATGTCAGTCTGTGTGGTGGGCAGCATGCCCATGCCCTCGTGGTGGGTAGAGGAGATGCCTTGCACAGCATGGAAATCCTTGAGAGTGGTAGTGGTGGTTGGCTGTGTGTGCTTGCAGGCTGCCATGATCGAATCCCCTGCCTTGGGAGCAATTGAAAAGAAGTCTCCTTCTACCAAACTGTGGGTTTTTTAAAGTTGGCCTTGAATAAATCCTCTAGCAGCTGAAGAGAGGTGGCAGCTGGAGGGTGGGAAATGAAGCACTGTCTCTGGAGGTGGGGAGCACGTGAGCTAGCCAGACTCAGCTCCTTCCACTCAGGCCTTTGCATGCTGAGCCACTGCCACTGAAAATGTTGCAGCACCTTCCACCTGTGTCTTTCAACAGACTGCTGCAATGTCCAGGCAGCCTGTCAAGCTTTTAGAGCTGGGCAGGGAAAGCATGAGCTTTCCATAAAGCTCATTCTCCTGTGAGAGGAATGTTTTGCTCAGGACAGATGGGATGATCTTCCTAGCTCTCCTCTGCCCTGTTCCAGCCTCTCCCAGCTTCCAGGTCTCCCTGACCTCTTCTACCAAATTTTCCTGCCCTGGTTTTACTGGCCTTGTTGATTTTATTCTGTAGCACTCACAAGGGCTTAATTTCAATTTGCTACAAATTTGGTGGGGCTGGTACCTAGCCAGAGTGGTTCCTGTGTAAAATGTGGATCAGCATCAGGAGAGTGGTAGGGGTAATGGAGGTGCCAGGGCTGATCAGCACCTCGGGGTACACAGGAGTTCTGCTTAGTGGAGTGCAGGGAATGCAGAGGGTCTTCGCTAGGTGGCAACACCTGCTCTGCCATTGCAGCCCTCTGGGCTGAGCTGTGAGACTCGTGGAGCAGTTAAGCTGTGGGAAGCAACTCTACCACACGCCTCAGGTAGCATTGCCATGTCTCCCCCTCCCCGCTTCAGCCTTCTGTCCCTTGCTTCCCACTGTCCCCTTGCCCTGACAGCCACAGCGTGGCCTGGGACTCATAGGGGAGCCTACTGAATTCCTGGTCTCTGTGTTAACAGCCACCATCCGGATGCAATGGAAACCTTTTTTAGGAGGCACTTTGGGCGGAAGGGGCTGCGGCGCACCAGCGTGGTGGCTGTGCCCACGGGCAAGGCCAGGCGTCGCTCCCAGGTGGGGCTGCCCTCCCCCTCGCTGGCCCAGTGCCGCCGTGGCTCAGGCACCCCAGCAGCATCCCTCTCCTGCCTGGGCCTGGTCCGGCGTCCCGGCACGCGGCGCCGCTCCAGCACCACGCCGCCCTGCCTCAGCCCCAGGTTTGCCGTGCAGAAGAAGTGCGGAGGCCAGGCACAAGCCATTGATGCCCAGCTGCCGTGTGCCACTGTCCTCCGGGCCAGCCTCGCTCGCACGGGAGCGGAAGGGGACAGGGCTCACTGCACTGACAGCTCCACATCTGAGTCTCCGGAGGACGGCGGCGCAGGAGCTGAGCAGGGCCAGCATGAGCATTGTGCTGAGGAGACGTGGCTGGCCATGCTGCCCCAGCTGCGGCCGCTGCAGGCCGGGCGTCTGTCGCGGGGCCCCCGCTGCCTGCGGCGCGCCTCCTCCCACCGCCTGCCCGCCGAGTCCCCTCACGGCCGGGCTGCCTACGGCCTGCCGGGCCGCTACCGCCGCCTCAGCCAGCGCCGGCGCTCCAGCGATGCCCCTCAGCCCGGGCTGCTCCCCTCTGGCCACCCACGGCCGCTGGCCCAGCACTGTGCAGGAATAGCTGGAACCAGGTGCCCCTCTGCCACCCTCGTCAAGGGTTTGGGACCACAGCACACCTGCCACGCCGCCCCAGAAGGCTGGAGCCCCCGGCTGCTGTATGTATGGTGGCAGCGTGCAAGCAGGCAATGCCCCGGGGAGGGGAGAGGGGGAGTGCAGATCCAGGTTTGGTGGGGAAGGAGGGAAGAGACTCAGCGCCGTTGGTCTTGGCTGCCATCGGTGTCTTGCAGTGCTGCTGGCATACCATAAGCATCTTCCACTCTGGCCAGCACTGCCACTGATACTCTTAGTGAAGTTCCTGGGTGTCCTCTCCTGCCAGGATAGGACCAGAGGAATGTTGTAGGCCTGGTTACTGGCTGGAGATGCACCTTTCTTCTGTTAGCTGGATTTTCTGTTCCTTCCTCCACCCCAGTACATCTGGGAGAAGCTCACTTAGCCCCAAGCAAACAGCTGCTTTTATTCTGGCCAGTTTTACTGGTCTCTGGAAACAGCCCAGGCTCTGAGGTGTCTGAGAGATGCAGAGAGACTGTTGGACAGGAGCTCAAGATTGTCCCTGCAAAGGCAGTCCCACCATCAAAGCTCAAAGCTCAGCTGGTGGACACTCCCAGGGTGTTTTACAATGGAGCTGTTATCCCTGAGGGCATTAACCCAGCAGGCCCAGGCTGTGCCTTTTGTTGGGTACATGCTGTCTGGCTGAGCTATCAGCAACACTGCCAGTACCACTTCATCCCACAGGACTATCTCACAGAAACAGGTACTTCTCAACCAGCTGGGATGGAAATTCACCTAATTTCCAGCCCCTTGGTCCTGAAGAGGCTTTTCTGCTCCAGCCTCATGTTGCATCTTAGAAGCAGGTTGTGCTTTGTATATATATTTAATAACCAGCCCTTCTTTGTCTTCCAGGAAAGCTATTGCCAAATCCAGTCTCCAACACATGGTAGCCCAGCCAAACCCGGCACTAGCCATGAGGAGCGACTCAGAGAGGCAGATACGCAGCACTGTGGATTGGAGCGTAAGTTGTACTGTGTTTCGCTGGGCATTGCATGGATGGGCTCTTGGCCAAGAAGCAGCAGGCTCTTCCCGGGATTGAGGCTTCCCAGGTGACTGACTTTGACACTTTTATGGCCTCTCCCATTGCCACCAGCTGGTGCCAGCATCTGTGCTTCTGGCAGCACTATTTGATGCTGCAAGAGAGAGGCTGTGGAGGCACAGGTGGTTCCTGGAGGGGTGGCATAACTGCTCCACTCCCAGCTTTTCTGCTTCTGACAGCCAAGATCTGTTGGCTGGGGCCAAGCAATAGGAGTAAACCCCTGCTCCTTCACAGGCAATGCCCCACAGGTTTTAAGCTGCATGTTCAGGTTGTAGAACAGAAGCTGGTTCAGGAGTGTCCCTGCACTGAGTTTGCGCTGATGCCTCCTCTCAGGGTGATGAAAGCAGCTCCCCTGTGCAGGACACTACAAGTGGTTTGTAGGTCTTGGAGTTGGTTTCCTGGGGCCCTCTTGTTTACAACAGGTGGGCCATGGCAGCAGCTTTGTGGGGTTTCCTCTCTGCAGATGTCCCTGGCTGTTGTGTGCATCTTGTCTCCTGGCCTCTACCTAGCTCCAACCTCCCTCCCCCAGCATTGTCCAGTATCTTGACCCTTGCACAAAGCATTTTAGGTGCTCAGGTGCCTCTCTGGGGGTTCTCTCAGAGCTTGTGTTGTCTTGTGTCTTTCAGGAGGCTGCGGTCTATGGGGAGCACATCTGGTTTGAGACCAATGTCTCTGGGGACTTCTGCTACGTTGGGGACCAGAACTGCATGGCAAAGCTTCTGGTGAGTCACCTGGGGCCACCTGCCTTGGCAGCAATGGCCACAAACCTGGCTGTGCTGTCACCTTGTGGGGAGACCGCAGAGACCGCACTGCTGCTGCTGCTGCTGCTGGGAGACATGCAGGGGTGTGGGGAGCTGCCGAGGCAGGGACTGTGTCCCTCCTGCCTCTGCATGCCGGAGGGCCTAGCCCCCAATTTCTGCCAATGCTGGTTCTCAGTTTGCAATGGGAACCTGATGCAGGGCTGCCACTTGCCTGGAGGGTTCCAGAGAGAGGCTGTTGGTATTCCACACTCTTGGAAGGACAATCTGAATCCAAGACTTTACAATAGAGGAGAAAAGTGACCTGTGGAGACTCAGGCCTATTGCAACCTGTCCCTGCAGTCCTCCCTCCCAGTTTGCAGGCTCTGTTCTGCTCGTGGTGCATGACACGTAGCACTGATGCCACACTCTTCCTGCTATCCTGCAGGTGCCTGCCACTGATGCCACCCTGTAGGTGCCTCCCAGACCAGTTTCCATGGTGCTCTCAGGCAGTGTCAGAAAAGGACAAGGACTGCAGGACAGGCTAGTAGGGAAAGTACCTCCCTGCTCAGTCTCAGGCTTGAGAACATCTGCTATAGGTACATGCTTAGACACCTTCACTAGATAAGAAGTCTAGGTTGTATCTAACTTTACAAAAGGGCTTGTTCTGTATCCCAGTAACAAGAAGGAGGTATGATGGGAGGCTGAGCTTGCCAGGCTCTGAACATGACATATTTTCATTCACATATATATTCACATATATATTTTTTCTCTCCTTTTCTTACCCTTCAGCAAAAACCTCTCTCCAGGCGCAAGTGTGCAGCCTGCAAGATCGTAGTGCATACACCCTGCATCGAACAGCTGGAGAAAGTGAGTAGAGTCTGTTAAGCCCTCCCTGCAGCTCGCAAAACTGTAGCAGCCTTTTCTTGGGCAGTGAAACACAAGAAGATTGGGGAACTGTGATGTGTAATTGCAGAGAGGGGTCTTCTGAGGAGACAGTACCAAAATGAAGATCTAGTGACATGACTGGGACCCCAGGCCCCATTTTGTTCAGTAACCAAGACATGTGAGGGTTTTGTGGCAAGTACCAAACAACTTCAGAGGTACAATGGTTTTACTGATTCCTCTCGTGTGTTCTTTGTACAGATAAATTTCCGCTGCAAGCCTTCCTTCAGGGAGTCAGGATCCCGGAACATACGGGAGGTGAGAGATGTGCCTTGGATGCTGCCCACATCTGCATCTCCCATTTCCAGTTTTGTGGTGAAGACACCAGATGCTGCCAGCATATTGCCCATCCAAGTGGAGATATCATGTTCCTTCCTCCTCCAAGGGGGTGGTGCCATAAAAAGGATGTTTCTTTGCAAGGCAGCAGCACAGACTGGGTGTGAAGAGTGAGGAGTTTGCAGGCAGCAGATGCAGACCATCTGATGGTTTGCATATTCTGAATCTGCATGGGAGGAACCTACAGGCAGTGTTTTTTGGGAGAAACTTTGCCCCTTTTTTTGGGACTTCAGGCACATAGATGAGGAAGTGGCAGGTCCCCAGGTCTCCTGCAATTTGGAAGGAAGCAGTATGGGCTCATTTCTGGCTTTATCATTCTGCCCTGACCTAGGTGCCACAGGTGGCAGTGGAAGTTGCCCACAATAGTGGTATCAGACCCCTTTAGCCCATGTTGTAATATACTGGGTGTAAGCAGTGGCCTGGAACCTGTCTGCTGACCTGCACTGCTGGAAGCAGCTGTCAGCCTTCATGCTTCACCCTCCAGCCTGTGGAGCCAGTGTAGCCTGTGCAGTGCTCTGGAGTGGGCGTGGGTGGCTCAGTCACAGGCCATTTTGGTAACAGAGCTGCCCCCAGCACACTGTGTTTGTGCTGGCACAGCAGACCTAGTTGGGGAAGAATATTCAAACACAGGGCTGCCTGCTTTGAAATGCCAGCATGACGTCATTTTAAACCTTTCTTTCTTGCTCTGTTTTTCTTTCTGTACCTCCTTCACATATTGCTCTTAGTCTAGCTCTCTTATTTGTGCTTCACTTACCTTTTGGGCTCTGCTAACAGCTTGCTGCCTCTGCTTAATCATCCGTCTCTATTTTTCTTCTTTCCAATCTCTACTAATTTTTATCCCGCCCTTTCTTTCTTTTTCTCACAAATTCTGCTTCTTCATCCTGTCTTTCTAATGCTTCTCAGTTCTTCCAAGGCCTCTTCCTTCCTGTTTCCCTAAAAAGGTGCTCTTCTGTCCTTTGTGGTGCCAGGGATCCCCTTCAGGGTCAGCCCTTTCCCTAGATGTGCCTGCTTGGACCCAGAGCTGAGCTCAAGGCATAGCCCTCCTTCTGCTCCTGCTGGATTAATACCCACTAAAGCCAACAAGACTCTTTGTCCCCTCCTGTGTTGCTACACTCAGAGAAGGCAATGCTGGAGCTGACCCCAACCTCCTGCCAGTTTCTGCCTCTCATCATCATGATCCCAAAAGCTGTCAGGAGCAGGATGTTGGGCCCTGTCATGCCAGCCTTTCTCTTTTTGCTACTCTATCTGCACTGCCATTCCCAGTCCAGGGCTGGAAGAATAGGATGGGATTTAGGACAAGTGGTACTTCATTACAAAACTTCTGACTCCCTCACAAACACTTCTGCAAGTCCCAGCCCTGAACCCACCGTGAGCCTGCAGGCAGAGCAGAGGTGCTGGCGAGCAGCCTTGCTGCCCACGCTGGGACTGAAGCAGGCTCAGGATTGGCCTGGGAAAAGAGCAGGGGGAAGTGGGTGTGGAGGGCTTTGGGGCTGCCACTCTTCTTGAGGAATATGAAATGAGGAGGTTCACTGCTTAGCTGCAAGCACTTCCATCTTCTTCCTGTGGGCACAAACTGTGTCTCTCCAGGGATTTTCATGCCTTCCACCAGCACATTTTTCACCTGGCACTAGGGGCATCTGGGCAGAGATGTTAAGGAACAGAGATGTGTTACTGCTTGCCCACTCTCCATTGGATCTGCTTTGTGTGATTCTCAGTCTTCAGTTTCCCTGTCCTCCTTCTTCTGGTTTTAATTCCCTTTTCTTTGAGCATCTTAATTTGGCCTCTTGCCCCCTGATTCTTTGGCTTTGCCTTCTCTCAGCGGGTGTGGGGCTGGTGCCTATGAGCAGTGGTTTTGCTGCAAGAGCAGAAGTTGGCTGGCCTGTGTCCATTTCTTCTGCCTGTTCCTGTGTTCCCTCATGCACTGGGCCCTTCACTTCTTTTTTTTTTTTTTTCAATTTTCTTTTTTTCTTTTTCATTTAGCCCATTGTTGTCCGACATCACTGGGTGCACCGGAGGCGGCAGGAAGGGAAATGTCGGCAGTGTGGCAAGGTGAGAGGGCATCTTGGGCATTTTGCTTAGCCTGAAGGAAACCTGAAGTCAAGTCAGAGACATACAAGAACTGGGAACCAGGGACATCCCGCCATTCCTGTTTGGCAGCAAAACTAAGACACGTGCCCTGCTTTTCTCAGTGAAGCACTATGTAAGTGCTTCCCACATAGAGTAGTTCTTCCCCTGGGCCCAACTAATCCTGAAAGAAATTGTCTTCCTGACATGCTTTCCTTGAGCAATAAGGACACCCCTACAGAGCACAGTGGCCTCCCTGGTGCTGTTGTTGTGTTCGGGACTGTCTGACAAGATCTGGAGGGCTCCAGCTGCAGGCATGCTCTTTGTTGGTGTCTCACTGTTGGATGGTAGGAAACTGCAGGGAACTCCCTAAGCCTCTTATCCTTTCTTCCATAGGGTTTTCAGCAGAAGTTTGCCTTCCACAGCAAAGAGATTGTAGCCATCAGCTGTTCCTGGTGCAAACAAGCGGTGAGCAGAGCCCCCCTTTTTGCCTTACCAGTCGGTTCTGCGCTGATGACCGCTGCCGGGGCTCCCCAGGCTGCTGCTCTGCAGCCTGCCCCTAACAGCTCCCTCTGCTGGGAGAAGCTGCACTATGATCTGGGCAAGCTCCTTGGAGAAACTTTCTCTTCGTTGCCTTCCCTTTCCAAAAATGCCTGCATGGTTTTCATCCAGCACTCCCTGCATTGGCATGGGGGACCTGAGAGGAGGAGATGGTGGCTGTGCCCAGCAAACTGAACAGCTGAGTTTTCTCTCTGTCTTCTCCTTGGCCAGTATCACAGCAAAGTATCATGTTTCATGCTGCAACACATTGAAGAGCCCTGCTCACTAGGGGCTCACGCTGCTGTCGTTGTTCCTCCCACCTGGATTCTGCGGGTCCGGCGGCCCCAGGTAAGTCACTTCAACTCTTGGGGCTCTTTCTCAGTTCCCACTTGCCCAGTGGCTCCTCACAGGGTTTTCATGTTTGTTCCTTTTCTCTCTAGAATCCACTGAAATCTAGTAAGAAGAAGAAGAGGACATCATTCAAGAGGAAATCCAGCAAAAAGGGGGCTGAGGTGAGACATGAGGGGACTGGGAATGACCTTGTCTTAGAAGGGCAGAGGGACTGAATAGTGAGGAGCAAGGCTGGGAATAAAAGTGGGCTATTCTGGGTGTGCACTGACTTCAAGGAGGTTGAGCTGGAGGGAGGGTGCCTGCTGGCAGGGTATATCCCAGATATAGAGTTTATGGGATGGCTGGGGTGTTTTCTTCCTCCTGCTTCTGACCTGCATGACGTTAGGGCTCAGCTGGAGGTGGCAGTTTGTATTTCCCTAGCTTTGTTGAAGGATCATCTATGGTGTCTCTTTCAGGAGGGGAGGTGGAAACCCTTTGTCATCAAGCCCATGCCAGCTCCTCTCATGAAGCCCTTGCTGGTGTTTGTGAATCCCAAGAGTGGTGGGAATCAGGTATGGCCTTGTCTGGTGTATCTAAGAAGACATCTCTGTGAGGGCATTGCCATTCAAGTGCTGAGCTCTGATCATTGTTTTAGTGATGTTTCAGCTGCACAAAAGACCACAATGCCAGTTTGCTACCCAGCAGTTCCTACCTCGCCAGGCTTTGCCTGTGTCCCCTCCAGAATGGTGTTGTCTTAGCCTATCCCCAGGCAGGACCAGATGCTCCCTTCTGCTGTGCACCGGAAACTCTTTATTACCTGAAGTCTTTCTTCTCCCCACAGGGAGCCAAGATCATCCAATCCTTCATGTGGTATCTCAACCCACGGCAAGTTTTTGACCTCAGCCAGGGTGGACCCAAGGAGGCGTGAGTACTGATGGTGGCAGCACTTTCTCTCCCCCATCTCTGTCCCAGGATTGCTCCCAAGAGCTCTTCCCCCAACTCATAGAGGGAGACATGGACGTGCCTATGTGAATGCCAAGGGCTCTGTGAGGCAGCTGCTGTGTAACAGCTTCAGTAACTCTCGCCTCCTCAACCTCCCTGTTCCCCACAGGCTGGAGCTGTACCGCAAAGTCCACAATCTCCGGATCCTGGCGTGCGGGGGAGATGGCACGGTGAGTCTCCAGCCCCTCCATCCCATGGTGCCCCTTTGCCCAGGCCTTTCCGGTGCAGACAGCAGCCCTCCTTGTAATCCAGAACAGGGCAAACTGTGCACTCTGCATCCATGCTACAGGTGGTAGCATAGATGCTGTGGGTCCCCTCATGCACTGTTCCAGGGAGTGCTAGTCTGTAACATGTCTGGATTTGTAGCCCTTTGGAGGGCCAGTGTCCTCACTGGGGTTACTGGTTTCTCCTGCAGCACCTGATTAGAGCATTAAAGACTGTGAATAGCCTCAGGTGTGGCTAAGGATACCCCATCTCTGCCCCCTGCCGTCACTAGTGCTCTGAGTCACCTCTGCCTGCCTGCTGGTCCCTGAGATAACTAATTGTTTCTTTGCACTCTCTTGCTTGAGCAGGTGGGCTGGATACTCTCCATTCTGGACCAGTTGCGCATCAATCCACCTCCTCCTGTGGCCATCCTACCTTTGGGGACAGGGAATGACTTGGCCAGAACACTGAACTGGGGTGGGGTGAGTGATGGGCACAAGAACCCACTGCTGACAGAGCAGGACTGAGTGCTTCAATCCTTGTTTCAGACACATGGTTGGAGATTAGCATGGGCTCGTGTTTCAACTTCCTGTGAATATAGACCAACAAATAAGTGCAATTGGGATATTGCTGTTCTTCTGACATTTGAATGATTCTGCATTAAATTATACAAAAGCAATTGCCTTTTCAAATTTTGAAAAATTTTTTAAAGGAAGATGTATTGTTTTAAATGTCAAGTCCCATTTTGATGTATATTTGAGTAGAGTTGATCTCTTCTATATCTTTTACTCTGAGATGCCTTACCAAAGCCTGCTGTCTGGGTATCTCTGTGGGAGGCAGGCATGAGACTCATCAAATCCTTCTCCTCACCAGGGTTACACAGATGAGCCTCTGTCCAAGATCCTATCACATGTAGAAGATGGGAACATAGTGCAGCTTGATCGCTGGAACCTCCATGTGGAGCCAAACCCTGACACAAACCCTGAGGAAAAAGATGAGTCAGCTGCTGACAAGGTGAGGCACCTCCTCTCCATGTTCCCTGTGCTAGAGGTCTGCATTCTCTCTTCTGCCACTGGCTTAGGCAGTCCCAGCACCTGGGGCTAACATTCATGGGTTGGTGTTTCCTTTTTATTTCTCCAATTCCACTATTCTGTTCATGGCTCTGAGCCACAGCACTCATAGCAAGAGAGTATGCAGAGTTCATAACTAAATGCCTACCAAAAGTTTTTAACCACAACTTGCAACAGGTATAAGCCCAGTCTTCTGTGAGACTGTTTTCTTTAACAAAAACATGGGTGATTGCAGAAACCTCAGAAAGCAGAGTGTGTCCTCCTGGACCATTTCTCTTACCCCTAGGAGCCAGGAACTAATCCATTATCTCAGGCTGGTGACCTCTGTATTTTCCTAGGGAAAAGGCAGGCAGGGTCCCCTCAGCCTCATGAGCACTGTAGTGGTGGCTCTGCTGTAACCTGACCTCATCTGTGCCATGGGCACATGCTGGCAGCCTCATCCTTATTCCTCCTTTCCGTTTCAGCTCCCTTTGGATGTCTTTAATAACTACTTCAGCCTTGGCTTTGACGCACGGGTGACGCTGGAGTTCCACGAATCCCGAGGTACAGGGTGGTGGCAGGACTTGGTCAGGGTCTGTGGGATGGGCCTGTTCTTGTTTGTGGGTTCCTCAGGAAAGTGAACAAGAAAATTGCTTCAAGGACAGAGCTGGAGGTGAAACATGAGCAGCAAGTCCAAGCTGCAGATGGGGAAGAGGGCTGCTGCAAAGGAAAAAAGCTGGGGGCAGACCCCTGGCTGAGGCTGGCTGGAGAGCTGTGTCTGAGGAGAACTGGCAAGTGAAATATTTCCATGTGTAGGACAGTGACCTGGACTTTTTTCTCCTTTCCCTAGAGGCCAACCCAGAGAAGTTCAACAGCCGGTTTCGGAATAAAATGTTCTATGCTGGGGTGAGTGTGGGGGGGATATCTGAGCCTGCTGTCATAGCAGCCTTAACATCAGCTGCAGCACAGTCATGGGCCTGCCTCATGTCTGCACCCTGAACTCACCCATTTAAGTTACATGGTCCTTCACATGCACCCAAGCTAAGACCCCAGCCTTAAGCTGGAAAGTTGTTGGAGAAATGCTGCAGCTCTGGGAGTCACAGCTCCCCTTTGGCTGTGAGTGCTGCTGGCAGTACAACTTTCTCCGTGGCCTGCAGTACAGTTGTTGTATTGATCTCCTGCCACTATTGTTCTTGATCTCAAGCTCACGGGTGGTCACCCAGGCAGGACCTCCCTGGAGCTGTGGGAAGGCAGACTGTCCCTCCTGCAGAGGAAAAGGAAGCCTTTCCATAGTCTGCATACTACTTTGGTCTTTTTTTATATACCTTGGACCTGGTATATACTTTTATATACCTTTTTTTATATACCTTACACTTCCTGGCTAATTACACCAGCCTCCTGTGTCTCAACTCTAGCGCTTTGTGTCTCAGTATCATCTTTGTTCCTCTGTCTCCCCATCCTCAATATACTTTCTAGCCATGTGTCTGGTGAGTGGTATTAAAGTATCCTGCTCTACTAAAGCAGTACTAAAGGCCGAGTGCTGCTCTGTGCCATCTCACATCTGTTCTGCTTGTGTCTCTTTTGCTGATTGCACAGTTAAACCCAAAGGTGACCCATGCTGTCCCTCCTGGAATCTCTAGATGGAGTAACTTCAGCTGTTTTGTGGTACTTCATTACAGCTTGAGACTGAATTTTTCTCTTGTTACATAATTCTCACTGGAGGAGACCCATCTTACCAGCTTTTCTCTAAAGTCAGGACTGGGCTGGCAAGGGAATACTAGAGCATGTTACTAAAGGTGCCTCAAGGTTTTTGGTAGGCAAAATAGCAAGAGGAAGGGATCAGGTTGTTTTGGAGGAGAAGAGGACTTCTGATGGTGGATGAAAAGGGGGTTTAGAGGTTTGAGCAGCTGAGCTTTGTGGCAGGTCAGTGGCAGGCTGAGGTGCAGGTCAGTGGCAGGCTTCCTGGCTGCCCATTCTGGTGAGCACCTGGGCACTAACTCTGTCTCTTACCTTGGCAGACGGCCTTCTCCGACTTCCTCACAGGGAGCTCCAAAGACTTGGCGAAGCATGTCAGGCTGGTTGTGAGTGTGCTGGGGTGCTCTGGTCCAGGGAGGGGGTGAGCTGTGGAGGTGTGAGGAATGTCCCTTGGTACACTGAGTATGTCAGGGCTGGGGAGCAGATGGGGAGCTTCCTGGGAGCATCAGCTTCCCCTGACTTGGAGAACATCCACTGTAGGGAGCAGAGGAGGGAGGCTATTTCTTACTAAGTGGGTAGGATGGGCCAGGCTCCCCCTTACAGCAGCCTGAACACCCCTGTGTTGTCTCTAGTGTGATGGGACAGACCTGACCTCCAAGATTCAGGACCTGAAGCCCCAGTGCCTGGTCTTCCTTAATATCCCAAGGTGAGCACCCCCAGGACCTGTCTTCATATGCTGGGCTTTTCACACCTGTGCTGTAGATCCCTGCCTGGGTTTGGGGTGTCAGTCCAGGCATTTCTTGTTGTCCTTTCACAGGTACTGTGCAGGCACCATGCCCTGGGGCAACCCTGGGGAGCACCATGACTTTGAGCCCCAGCGCCATGATGATGGCTGCATTGAAGTTATTGGCTTCACCATGACATCGCTGGTGAGTCAGTGCTGTTGTCAGTTGCAGGTAGAAACCAGGGGAGTGAATGGTCCCACTGACCAGGTGTCAGCCAGCCTACAGCTCCACAGCTCCTCTCTGGAGGAGTTGTGGTGCTGACCTGTATGACAGTGTCTGCTCTCTAAGATTTAGGTGAGGTGCTGCTGTCATGCCCTGGTCTCTGTGACTTCCTTCTCACTGAAATCAAACCTAAGACCCTCAGAACTTAGTTCACTTGTAACATCCAGATGACAATGGATGTTCCCCTCATCCACATTTCGGTCCATGTTCTGCTCTCACTCTGGACCCTTTACAGGCTGCCTTGCAAGTCGGTGGCCATGGGGAGCGGCTCTGTCAGTGCCGGCAGGTGGTTCTCACCACATCGAAGGCCATCCCCATGCAGGTGGATGGAGAGCCCTGCAAGCTGGCAGCTTCCTGCATCCACATTTCTCTGCGCAACCAAGCCAACATGGTGCAGAAGACCAAGCGGCGCAACTCCATGCCTCTGCTCAATGAGTAGGTTCCTCAGACCGATCTGCCACCTCCTCTCCAAGGAAGGATGGTTGGCAGGGAAAGGGACAGGACTGATCCGCCACTGACAGAGGCATTTCAGTCCTTTCTTGGGTAAGGTCTGGGAAAGGATCAGGTCACAGAAGTAAGACCAGACCCTAATGCTAGAGAAGCTGCTGGTGCCAAGCTCCCCACCCCAGTCTATACAATATTCTTGCCTGTTTTGAAGGGATTAGGGGAATAAGGAGAAAGCACGGTGTCACTTTCTGATATCTTCCTTTTTCCTTGCCCCCTGCACACAGCCAGCAGCCAGTGCCTGAGCGGCTGCGGATCCGGGTGAGCCGAATCAGCATGCGTGACTATGAGGCACTGAACTATGACAAGGAAAAGCTCAAGGAAGCCTGTGAGTGACCAGGGGGTGGGAGCTGCAGTCCCCATGTCTGGCAAAGCCTGTAGCTAAACTGTGTGAGGTGTTGGGAATGCTGCTCCCTGAGTTGAGCCTATGTCCTGTCCTGCAGCTGTGCCACTGGGTATCATCGTGGTTCCAGGAGACAGTGACCTGGAGTTGTGCCGAACCCAGATTGAGAAGCTGCAGGAGGTGAGTGAAAAGTGAAAAGTGGTCATAGCTGAATACTGAGGATGAAGGGACTCAGGGAAAGGATTTCTAAGCCACCTTGACCTGCACACACTACCAAACACACTCTTGCTTTGGGTCATGCTAAGAGGTCATGGTTTGCCTTTACCATGTGGTGGAGGCAGGGTCCCATGCTGGATGCATTGTTGCTCCCTGGTGTCTGGCAGCTTCTTTTTCACCATTACTCTTCTGACTGTTCTCCAAGCCCAAAAAGAGACCCTGAAAAACTGCAGGGTGGTATAAAAAGCCAGCACACATCCTGTGGGAGCCTATAACCATTCAACCATCCACAGGCTCTGGGTTTCCTGTCACAGCTCTGTCTTCTCCAGATGCCTGGATTAGGTTTATACCACTCCCACTCTTCTCATTTGCAAGCACTAATTTTGTGTCCTTGCCAATGTATTAGCATGTGTCTGTGACCTGTACACAGATTGTATTACTCTTGCTCCTGGTGAACAATGCCTTCCTAACCCATAGTGTGGCTCCTGGTGCTGCACTGCTCAATCTGATTGTTGCACAGAAGATTGAAGGGACCTTTCTTAGTCTGCTGTTAGCTGGCTCTTGTGCCTATGGGAACCCCATCCAGTGTATGTGTAGAGCCCCTCAGAGCTGAGTTGCAGAGATGCTTGCCTGGGCTGGCACACTGGCATCTGCCTCTTGCTGTGCCTGCTGTGTATGCGTGTCCCCTGCCTGCTTTGTGCCAGGCACTGGTGAGGACACACAGGCAGGCACATGGCTAGCAGCTCCTGGGTTCACAGGGTAATGCTCTCCTGCTGAGTCAGTGGGGTAGATGGATGCCCCTGCAATCTCCTGCACCTTTAAAACTGTGCAGTGTGGCTGGTGTTTCTTGGTCACCTCATAGTTTACCTCTTCTCACTCCTTGGGCAAGCTCTGTGCTCCAACCTTAAAGCCAGGCAAGGACCAGGTACCTCGGCCAGACAGTGTGTAAAGCCAGATATGGCAGCACACATCAAGCAACTCCAATGGTATGAGAGAGGGACTGGGGGGCTGCCCAGACACAGGCTGTAACAGGACACCTTGCCTTTCTGCAGGATTTCCCTGCGCAGCCCTCTGCTTTAGAGCGCCTGTTCTTTCAGGTGTGTATGGCCTCTCTCTGTCCTCTGGGCCCATCTGTCATATCCACTGTGCCAGTCTCCTGGGCTCGTCTTGTGACACTGCTGTACAGTCAGCTCCAGTCTGCCCCATGGTGCTCCCTGCTGCAGTGTGCTGTGCCTGTGTTCAATTTCATACAAGTACCTGTGGTCCTCTATGTCTGCATGGACCTCCCAAAGCAGGAGCAATGCTCTGAAGAGAGATGCAGAGGCCATAAGCTACATCTTTATCCTCTCTTTTATTATGCAGGAGGGAGATGGAGCCAAGCCGAAGACACTGTCATTCCAGAAGCTGTCACCCAAGTGGTGCTTTCTGGACTGTGAGTATCACCCTCCCCTAGGAGCGTTGACTGGGTTTGATGATGTGCTAGCAAGGTTCTCTGGTCTGCCAGCTCAGTGAAGGTAGGGGATGGAGATCCACATGGCTGCAAAGTTCCAAGGGTTATCAGTGCCTTAGAAACCACAGAAGCACCTGAGAATTAGGGCATAGGAATTACAGCTCCTATGCCCAAAAAAGTGAAGGAATCAGTAGCCCAGCTGAAGTGCATTGACACCAATGCATGCAGCATGAGCTACAAACAGGAGCCAAAAGATATGGCAGAGCAAGAAAACTATGACATAGTTGCCATCACAGAGACATGGCGAGACAAGTCACACAACTAGGATGCTGCAATGGATAGCTCTTAAACTCTTCAGAGGGGACAGGCAAGGAAGAAGATCAAGCTGATCTCTTCCTATGTCAAGATGACCTGCTCAGCAGTCATCTTGAGTTAAAAGCTGTGGATGTTGTCCACCTGAAGTTCAGTAAAATGTTTGACACTGTTTCCCACAGCATTCTCCTGGGGAAACTGGCTGCTCATGGCTCGCCTGAGTTCACTGTTCACTGGACAGAAAACCAGTTGGATGGCCAGGCCCAGAGAATGGTGGTGCCAGCTGATAGCCGGTCACCAGTGGTCATTCCCAGGGCTCAGTATTGGTCTGGTCCTGTTTATTGTCCTTGTCAGGCTGGATGAGATCAAGCACACCTCAGTCACTTGCAGATAAGTTGAGTGGGAGTGATCTCTGTAGAGGGATCTGGACAGGCTCATCATGGGCCAAGGCCAATTGCATGAGGTTCAAAAAAAGTAAATGTCCTGCCCTTGGGTCACAACCACCCCATGCAGTGCTGCGGGCTGGAGGAAGAGGGGCTGGAAAGCTGCCCAGCAGAAAAGGACCTGGAAGTACTTGTCAATGGCAGCTGAACATGATTCAGTGTGTGTGTGTATCTGTCAGGATCTGATTACTAAGGTTCTTAGGAATGCCCCTGCCCAAATTAAGGTGCAAATGAGACCATATGTCAGTGACAATAGTATGGGTTTTATTTTACAGTAAATATGAGAGAGAGAGACAGAGACAAATAGAAAACAGATGGGAGGGACAGAAAGAGAATAACAGGGACAGAACAAGGAAAAGTATCACACTCCATGGATCCCAGTGATGCTCCACTGGTTCTCTCCAGCTGGTCTTCTTGGTGGTGAAGGTCCCCCTGAAAATAATAGAATCTGATGGGTTGATATACGCTCAGGCCAGGTAGGAAAATCCAAGCACCTCCCCGGGGTAGGGGGTGAGTTTGCCATTGTCTCTTCCACATTTGTTGCATTACATGCAGTCCTGTGGTGCAAGGCCTCAGGAATGACTATGGGTGCACCTCAGGAGGCCTTTGATGGATTAGTGCACCCCCTCAGCTGCCCTCACATCAATGTCCTGTGGATGTGGCCGTCCCAGGGTTAGGGGTTCCATAGCCAGTTTGTGCAAGGGAGGATGGGTTCACAGCCCAAAAGCAGAGGTTACGACACACCAAAACTTTTTCCCTGCACCTCAGTTGGGGGGGGTGGAAATATGTGCAAACCTCCTCCTAGCAAATTTGTCTGTGGGCTATGGCCTCCCCCATCCCAAAGCAAGCCAAAAATGATTCTTAGCATGACTTCTGGATTTGGCTCACATTCTTGTCCTTGTTTACTTGTTTGTTTCAGGTGATTGAAGAATGGGTTTTCCCTTTATTTAATTTCAACAGTTTGACTTTCAGTCCAAAGTCCCAGTCAGGTATCTTCAGGGAGGCTTCTTCGATTGTAGCTTTTTTATACAGTTTTTTTTATAGTTACAATGAGTAAAACTTTATACCATTGTTTGAGGCATGAACTATTTCAGTCTCTGACAGTGTCCAGGTGGCCAAGAAGGCCAATGGCCTCCTGGCCTAGATCAAGAAAAGTGTAGCCAGCAGGAGCAGGGCAGTGATTGTGTCCCTGTACTCAGCGCTGGTGAGGCCACACCAGGAATCTTGCATCCAGCTTTGGGCTCCTCACTGCAAGAAAGAGGTACTGGAGCATGTGCAGAAAAGGGCAATGGAGCTGGTGAAGAGTCTGGAGCACAAATATTAAGAGGTGTAGCTGAGAAAGCTGGGGTTGGTTAGCCTGGAGAAAAGGAGGCTGAGGGGACACCTTATCACTCTCTACAACTACTTCGAAGAAGGTTGTGTCAAATTGTGTTGGTCTCTTCTCCCAAGTAACAAGCAAGAGGATGAAGGGAAATGAATGACCTCAAGTTGCATCAGGGAGACTTTTTTTCCACTGAAAGGGGGATCAAGCCTTGGAACAGGCTGTGGACTGTGACTTTAGGGATGGGGACTCATGCAGGGAAGTGGATGAGTCCCCATCCCTAAAGATACTTAAAAGATGTGTAGATGTGGCACTTAGGGATGTGGTTTAGCAATGGACTTGGCAGGGTTGGTTTAATGGTTGGACTCAAATGACCTTAAGGGTCTTTTCCAACTTAAGCAATTTTTTTCGATCATTCTGTGATTCTATGAATTTGAAGGGTGAGAGAACAGACATTCAATGAGAAGCAACAGGGAACCATGAGGCTTGGGACTCGCGGATGTTTGGGTCTTTGGGGCTGAGCACAGCAGTGCTTTCCCCCAGGCTGCGTGTCTGACTGCTGACCCGGAGTGGAGCCAAGGGAGTCTGTGGTTCTCTTGCCCTGGAGCTGAAGGCAGCTTGGTGGCATGCGTTTGTCACTGCAGGACTGCTGGGGATGCTCTCCTGTGCTGTGCAGGCAGGGGGCCCTCCTGCTCCGGCATGCTCGGGCTCACCATGAGCATAGCAGTGTTATGGGAGAGCAGCCTCACTGCTAGGCTCCAGCTGCTGCTTCTCCCCTGCCTGAAAGTAGTTTTCTCTTCTCCCTTTGCATTCTCTGACCAAGAACCTCCCTCTGTACCTGGAAGCTGGCTGAGTGAAATGCCCACTGGTAGTATTTCATCTCTCTGATAGCCCAGCAAGCAGCGAGTAGACCACAGCAGAGCACAGCCATGGGTTACAAAGTGGGCCTGGGAAGCCTCGTGCTAGGCAGACAGGGTGCAACTTCTCCCTTCAAGGTTCCAGCCCTGTGTATGGTGTTGCTGGTGCTGCTGCTCCCAGGTGTCACTACCAGGATTGCTGTACCAGGGCCACTTTCCCTTCTCCTGCCAGTCTCCCAGCAGCAGGTTCTGGGCTCAGGAAAATGTTTCAGGAAAGAGACTGGAGTCTCATTCAATACAGCCCAGGTTCATTCAGGTAGCTGAATTATAGGCCTTGAACAGTAGCTCCCTGGATGCAAATACCAGGATAAAACATGGCTCTTTCATTCCTCTCATCTGCTCTAGCACATCCCCACTCTGTTTGCAGAGAGATTTCCTTGGGTCTGCAAGGATCCCACTGCAGCAACCTCTCCTGGACTGTCACCAGCAGCCTGTCAGGATATTGGGGAAATGCTTCCCTGCCTAGGAATCCAGCTGTGCTGTCACTGTGCTCTTACCTGTTCTGGTCTCCTTTGGTGATGCCCTAAATCCGTAACCCATTTCTGCTCTCCTGGGGATGCCAGCCGTGTGTGTCTGGCTCCAGCATAGCCACTTGCTCTGTTGGAGCTCCTCTCTCTCTGTGGTGATCTCTTCTCTAAGGAAGAGGGATGCACTCAGGCTGGAGGCTGATTTGAAGCTCTCCTGCTATCCTAAGAGACAGGGACTTGGATCTACAGCTGGTGTTGCTTGGATCTACAGCTGCATGCTCTGTTGTGCCTGGCAGTGACATGCTCTGAGTGGCCTCATGAAGGTCCTTAGTCAAGTCAGCAGGGGGCTGAACCCTCTCTTCTCCCAGCCTCCTGTAGTGTCCCCATTTCTGTGTCCCCAGCACTGTTCAACAAGGTGCACCATGTTAATCACAGCAGTTCCTCACGTGGTATAAGTGAATGCTGAGGTGTGCACTGCATAGCTCTGAGCTTCATCTGCACAGGATAATGCTGGAGCATCTGAAAGCCTCCAGAAAGTCTATGGCGTCAGCAATGCCAGCAACCAGAGGTTTTTGGGAGAGCACTTATCAATAAAGTTCTGTACAGGATTCAACATCTGTATGAAATGTGATATTCTAATAAAAGGGAAAGAGGTGTAGTTAATGGGACAAGAGTTAATTCTAGGTTTAGCTTCCAGGCTTTTGTCTATAGTTTCTCTCCAACAATGGGGGTGAATGTGCTTTGGAGTCCACCTGCAAATTTCAACTGTAGCAATCCTATATACATGTAAGCAGACATTTTGCAAGATGGATACATCCCATACACGCTGTTATCATTTCTGTGGTTCAGCCCTGCTGCTAGTTAGCCTTTATTAGCTAAATGAGTTAAATGAGAATATTTAACCTTGAACGAGAGCAGGACTCTAATGAAAGGAAGGAAAACCAATCTCTTGTCAGCTAAACGACTTATCAGGCAGGTAGTTTACCCTGGAGAAAAAAAAATACCTCTCTGTACATATATACATACATATAAGTATATGCTATGTTGTGTGACTCTTTTACTTCAACTTCTACTTGAAAATAACTTGGAGTGCAGTAATTCATTCTGGATTCAGTTGTGTTCTTGCCTTACCTGTGGCTCCCTGCCAGGAGTCATTGAGGAGGAGGTAGTAAGTAAAGTGGCTGGATAGCTTGCCACTTTGTCTCGCACCAAGGATCAGCCCATCTCGTTCTGTTCCTGTCTTACAGCAACCACGGCCGATCGGTTCTACAGGATAGACCGCGCACAGGTGAGTCCAGCCTCATCCTGCACCATCAGCTCCTGGGAAGTGCTTGGGTGTCCCACCTGCACACAGACCAACAGGCAGGCACAGCCTTAGGGCCAAACAGGTCTCATACCTCTGCCCTGGCCTTTGGCATTACAAGCCTGGCCCAGGACCAGGCTCAGCACCTCCAGGTTTCTAGAGAAAAGGGAAGAAGCCTGGGTGGTAGCACAGAACCTTGGCTGAAAGCTGCCTGCAGGGCTCTCCAGTGGGTAAGGAATAGCAAACATAGGAAGACTGGCTGGGGACCCACCAGCTGAGATCATCTTCACCAGTATTAGATACTTTCCCTAATGATCTGGGAGGGGGAACGTGGAGATAAGGTTTACAAGGTTGCTAAGGCAGCAGGAGACAGGAAACCTGAAAATACCAAGGAGATGCAAAGGCACAAGACTCTTCAAGCCACCATTGCTCTGCTGTGCAAATGGGTGGGCCACAAACCACTGGGATATGAGGGGATGTAGTCTTGCAGAAGTAGGTCTTGTTTCTGAGGAAGCATGTCCTGACTTGTGTCTTTCAGGAACACCTCAACTATGTGACAGAGATCTCTCAGGATGAGCTCTATGTGCTGGACCCAGAGCTAGTGGTCACTCAGACTGTGAGCACTTCTCCTGCCATGCCTGACCTCGTGGACTCATCTGCCACATCCCCTGGACACCATTTTGCATTTCCTTCCTGTTCTTCCTCTCCACCCTCCTCTCCTGCCCCCAGGTGAGTCTGAAATGGGGGTGCTGGGCCTCAGGAACAATGGGCAGTGATGGGAGAGCTAGCCAACCCTGGGCCAGATTACAGGGGAGCTCCCTGGAAGTAAGCAGGATTTCAGTGTTGAGTAAGACCAAGGGATGAGATGCCATCCTGTTTTCCCTATTCCTCTCCCAGTGCTGCCCTACGTAATGGGGCATCACCAGGTGGCTCAGCCATGGGGTCAAGCTCCAGGCCTGTGGGGCAGAGGACAAGGGTTTCTTTCACCCAAACTAAGGCCAGTGATGAGTATGGTGCCAGGAGTAGCAGTAGAAATGGGAGTGGGGATGGGGAGGAACCCAAATCAGGGAAGAAGGAGTGCCACCGGCAGGTTCTCCATCCCTCTAATGGTGGCATGCACATTAGGGCCAGGACTGGCAGGGTAAGTTACACTTTCTCTTCTTCCCTTCCAGCGCTGAGCCTGAGCGCTGCCTCCCACATAAAGGTGAGTGGAGTCCAACCCCTGGTCATACCACCTCTCAGGCTGCACTTTTGTTTTCCTGCCATGGGGTTTTTTTGCCTATCCTGTCCCTGGTGCACAGGGAGGAGTCCTGTTGTTCCATGTGTTCTGAAACATGGAGCCCTCTGGGCAGGCGACCCAGAGGTGAGCACAACAGACCTGACAGTGATTTGTGGAGTGGCCCAGCTAGGCGCCTTCCCAGCTCCAGCATGCGGGAAATGATGTGGCAAGGGGTTAATCCCCCACCTGCAGAGCTGAGCGTTGTGGACTGGGTTGGGAGGCTGTCTCTGCCTCTCCCTGGGGAAGTGGGAGCGCTAGATCAGGGGCCTCACCAAGCTGAACAAATGGAAAGAGTTTCCTGAAGCTTGATTGGAGCCTGGAGGTGTGAGTGAGTCATTGGTGAGAGGCATCTTGGCTGCTGGCTGATGCTCAGAAGACCCACTCCCCATTTTCATCACAAGTTATCCTGCCCAAGGGCAGAGACTACTCCCCCTGCAGCTCCCTAGGGCTGAGATCTGGCTGCAGCCCTTAGCTACATGGTGTCTCTTTCCTTTCCCTGGTTTGTTCCTTGCATTCCTGAAGGTGGAGAAGCCATATAAATGCAGTCTGACCAAAGGGTTAATCCCTGGAGGAGCTTGTGCTCCTGCTCCACACCTCTGGTGCCCAGCTCTTGTCTCCAGGATTAGATAAGCAGTGTTCCAGATTGACTTTTCTGACCCTGATGTGTCTCTCTTTGCAGATGACCTTCTGATAGAAGCTGCCAAGAAGGGCAACTTCAGCAAGGTAGGTGCTCCAGCAGCCTGCTGCAATGCACAGCCAAGGCTGGTTTCTGGGCTGGTGTGCCCCTTGGGCTAAGGGGAGCTCTGCCAGCCATACTCCCCAGTTGCCCTGGAGCAGCACTGTCAAGGGCCTTCCTTAGGAGTGGTGGCTAGAAACCAGGCAGGCTTCTGCCAAGGAGCCCTGGTTCGTCTCCTGGGAGACACAAAGGGAAGGGAAGGGACTTGGTAACATGGCTGAGCTGGACAAAGCTCCCCACCAGCACCAAATATCCACACAACCTGTCAGACACTCCAGGTACATAATGCTGGGGCTTAGAGCTGGAAAATGCAACTCATCCTGAGCAATCTGACAATCCTGTAGTTTCAAGAGCTGCACCGAGCTGGGAAAGACCTGATGGTGCGAGATTCCTCGGGCCAGACCGTCCTCCACCATGCTGTCAAATCAGGAAGCAAGGACATCGTCAAATACATCATTGAGAATGGTGAGCTGGAGTCAGAGTGCCACTCTTAGCAAAGGAGCCTGGCAGCCAAAAAAAATCAACCCTCTGCTCAGAAGGAGTGCTCCTGGGCTTAGATCCCTTCCCTCTGGGTTTGCTACATCATCCTTCTGGTGTATGGACTTTTCCTGGCATCTGTCTGCCAGTACTGGGGTGTTCTCATGGCTATTGCTGCATCCTGTCAGGGATCAGTATGTCTCTGGGAAACATTGCTCAGTGTCTTGCTTCTGCCTTCAGGGCAGCTTCTGGGAAGCTGTTGTTTTTGGCAGTTACCACTGAAACAAAGCTTTATTTTTATTTAGATATTTCTCTATAGTGAGTCCACAACCAGTTCTTCTTTCCTGGGATCATCTAGGCTCAGATGTCATTGCTGACCTGGGTTTTTTGGAGCTAGGACTTTTGCAAGCAGCATGAAAATAGCAGCCCCTATGGAATGATGCAGACTGTGACCAGGGAGTAGGCAGGTCTGTCTCTGTCCCAGAGCCAGGTCTCACTCACCTGCACTCTTTCTTTCCACAGCTCCTTCAGAAATCCTCGATGCCACAGAGGAGGAGAAGTAAGTCACTGCCTGACTTGCATTACCTGTTGGCCAGACCCTCTGTGAAGTGACCAGTTATAGGGGCACTTCAGCTGCCTTTGTTCTAATTGCCAGCCATGATTCCCAGTCAATTTTGGACAGATTGCCCCTGAGTAGCACCCCCTCCTCTGCCTGCACAAACACACAACTTACAATCAGCTCCTGCTGCTGCTGAATTGCTGTCCCTTGCTGCCACCTGCATGTGCTGATTGTCCCTGTTCAGGGGGACATCTCACATCTCCTGCTTTCTCCTCCTCAGCGGTGAAACCAGCTTGCACCAGGCTGCAGCCTTACGCCAGCGCACTATCTGCCACTACATCGTGGAGGCTGGGGCCTCGCTCATGAAGACAGACCTGCAGGTGACAGCTGGAACGGTGGCAGTGGGACTTTCTGGGGCGACCAGAGGGCTGGCAAGGAGTAGAACCAGCAGGAGAGCAGAGCAGTGGTGCTTTGGGTGAGGTGTTTGCCAGTCAGAGAGGAGGTGACGTGGAGTACTCATGCTTGCCCAGTAGAGCCCAGCTACAGAGGGGTTAAATCCCTCTTCTCCTGGCGCTTCTCTCCCTGTTGTTTTATTAAATTAGAAGCAAGGGGCTGGAATGTCTCATCCCTGTCTCCCCCTTCCCACCCTCAGGGGTCAGAGCAAGGACATTCTCCCTGAAAGCTCCCTCCCAGCTGCAGGACTCCCCCGCTCTCCCCCACCGGCAGTCATGGTGGGGGATCTGGGAGCTCCTCTTGTCGGGTGAAGCTGGCCTGGGGGGAGCAGGAGCAAGCAGTGGCAGCACTTCCTCTCACATGCCGAGTTAATTGAGCTGTGCCTTAGTGTCAGGGAATTGTGCCAGCCCTGGCAGAAGAGATGCAAAAGGGGAGGGCTCGGGGCCATATTTTGGTACAGGAGGTTCCCAGGGCTGGCATATGGCAGAGAGGATGTGGTCAGATCCCTCTGGTGGAGGCTTGTAGTGATGGGCTGTAGCAGAGGTGATGTAGAACAAGCCAAGAAGGCGCAATCTGTGGGTCTGGGACACCCGTTAGGAGTCCCATTGCGGGGTGCTGGTGATGGTGGAGCTTGGGTTCAATTTAGACAATGCACATCCCTGTTAGGCAGCTGCCAGGAGAATGCAGTACAGATAATCTCTGGCTCCCCATCTCTCTTCCTTGGTCCTGTCTAAGGCTTAGGCCTTGCACAGTGCCCAGAGCGGGGCTGGCCTGAATGGAGAGTCAGCTGGCAGAGGCAAGTGGCATGGCCCCTCTCTGTCCCCAGCCCCCTCATTTACTTGAAGGAGAGGAACAGCCCCCAGCCTGCCAGCACAAAAGGGAACCTTGCTCAGGCATGTGGCTACCCCAGGGAATTGGTTTGCACGCGCCTGTGCAAAAGCATGTCGCATGTTGGGTTTGTGGCTGCCTGGGGACCCCGCTGTGCTGCTGACTGACCTCTCAGGGGCTCCGGGTCACAGCCTGCCTGCACAGGCAGGATCCACCTCATTAGAAACCCCAGACCTGTAGCACGGGTTTGGAGCAGACTGATCCCACTCCCTGCCATGGTGAGGGAGGCTGAGCCTTATCAGTTGGAGCGCCTCAGCCCAGCTGGGCAGGGAGGCCCTGGCAGCTCCGGTTTCAGGCTGCAGGCAGGAGTGATGCAGAGGGGCTTCTGCAGGGGAACAGGAAAGAAGCTTAATTCCTCCTCTGTTAAATGAGTGATTGCATTCAGGGGATGTGGGGAGGAGGCCATCAAGGAGAGCCAGCACCAAAGCACAGAGTGGTTGGGCTCTGTCCTCTGATGGTGTGGCTGCTGGGGGTTGTGTGCAGGATCATGAGGTGTGCCCAGTCATGGGGTGCACATCCCAAGGAGATTTCTTGCTGCATGATACTTCTCTGCAGCCACACATGGATGGGCTTCTGTGCACAGCCACATCCAGGCCCAGCGGAGGACTCTGCATGTCTGACCATTGTTCCTGATGGAGAAATATAGCTGTGGGCTGCTCTCGAGGCCTCAGCACACTGCTGCAGCTGCCCGTGCCCTGCTGTGCACCAGGAGATGAGCCGGGAAGGATGGGTAGCCCTTCCAGGGCTGGTTTTCAATGAGAACGACAGAGCCAGGTTTCTGTGGCCTTTCTCAGTGGCACAGCAGAGCCTGAGCACTTGGAGAGGTGGAGCAAGGAGCAGGGGGAGGGAAGGGGGAGAGGAGACAGAGCTGGGAGCTGTTAACAGATTTGCTTTTTATGGAGTGCGGGAGTTCATTAGTGGACACAATCCAGATGGCTGCAATAAGCTGGTGAAATGTGATCCTCCTCTGGGACCCGGAGTGCTAGCCAGGCTGTGAGAGGGAAGGGGGGTTGGTATGCTTGGGCATTCCCCAGACATACCCCTCATTCCTCACCCTTTCCCGCCTGCCTCCCCAGCACAGGAGAAGAGCAGGTCAGGGGGACCAGCCGTTGTCTCTTCTTGGGAGACTTGTGTTGCCCAGAGTCAGTCGTGTCCTAGCCCATGCCTGGAGCTGATGACTGTTCAGGGGACAGCTCCCAGGCCTGCAGCAGTCAGGCTCCTCAGGAGCACACTTTGATCCCATGGTGAGCAAATGGGCATTTGGCTTCCGCCAGACTTGGGATTTGGCTGCAGGCTCTGCTGGACCCAGCCACATGGGAGAATGGGGACACTTTTGGGTGCCAAAACAGCATTTAGACAGCGTTCAGCGCTCTTGACATCTTGTCTCCCCTGCACAGGGAGACACCCCGAAACATCGTGCTGAGAAAGCCAATGACCCCGACTTAGCTGCCTACCTCGAGAACCTACAGCACTACCAGATGATCCAGCGGGAAGACCAGGAGACAGCTGTGTAGTGCTTGGCATGCCTTAGCCCGAGCCCGCTCACGCAGGATGAGAAGAGTACAATGCCAACTGGCAGAACTGTATCTGGCCCAACCCTCCCCAGATGCCAGCCTGGTCCCTGGAGATGGATACAGAAGAGCTCTGCCCCAGGCTGGGCTGGAACTCTGTTTATGAGGACAATGGATATTTCAGACTTGAAGCCTGATTCTTTGTGTGTCTACCCCTTCACCTTTCATTCACCATGTTCCCTGCCCTAGGTGGTCTCTATCCCCAACCATGCTGGAGCAGGTCAGGCTGAAGCCCCCAGTCACCCTTGTTCATGGGAGCAATGCCAGTGCCTCCTCCACAGGCTCCTACCTATAATCCTTGTGGGATATCATTGCTCAGCCCCTCTCTCTGCTGGCAGTGCTCCTCTTTTAGGTGCTTGGCTAGGTTTGTGTCCTGTTCCTCCTCTCCTGTCTGGCACAGCTGGGGGAGGCACAGGCTGCATGGATAGACTGCAGAGGCTGTGAGTTGCAGACTGCTCCAAAGGAAGCACCACAACTTACTGGCCCTGCCTTCTTCTCCCTGCTGGGGCTGCACCAGATCTCTGTGTTGCCCTACCCAGAGCCTTCTGCAGCAGGAGGGAAGTCACTTGTGCATCCAGCCTTTCCTCAGAGCATCTGGGTCTGGTGCAGCTGGAAGTAGGGCAGCAGGTGCTCCCCTGATGGGCCTTTAGTGCTCAGTCAGCAGTCTTGACTCAGGGCCGGAATGCCATGGAGGAAGGCTACCAAACCCTCCCACCACGCTTCTCTCCGTGGGGCTGGGTGGAACAGTTTGCGCATCCACTCTGCTGAGCGTCTCTTTGTGAGCCTGCTGCAGGATGGTGGAGAGCTGCACACAACTGGTGCAGTAGCAGCAGTGACACCTGTTATATTTCCCAAATGCTGACTTAGATTCAGTTGCCCTCCTTGCTTCAGTGCCCCCAGCAATGCTAGACTTTGCACGGGGCTGGATGGGCAGTGCAGGGGTCAGTGCTGCTCTCAGGGATCCCCTCCTTTCCCCCAGCCTGGCAACATGCATCCTCTTAGGCTGAGACTCCTGGTGTTCCCCAAACTGGGCACGTGGCTTTGCAGGAAGCTCACACAGCTGAGACACAACCCACTTGGGCAGACCATGAACTCATCCTCTCCAGTTTTGGTAGAAAGAGGGATTTGGATTCCCAGGAACCATCAGGGCTCCTAGCCCTGAGTCATGTCTGCAGTGGGAAGGAATTTCACCAACCGCCTGCCATGGGGCATGAAGCACCACAATCTATCTCCCCTGTTGATGCTGTGAGTGTTTGATGCCAAGACATCAAGCCAGGCCTTTTAAAGAGCATCAAGCAAGGCTTTTGCAGAACTGAGTCTCTGAGACCAGGAGGTGGTGCCCACAGAGGAAGAAATCTGATGGCTCTGAGCCTAGCAGACCTGGTTGGCACTCTTGGGTGTGCAGTGGTTGTGAAGGGGGTTGCTGTTCACATCTTGGCTCTAGGAGAGGATACTACTGCTGCCTTGAGCGGTCTGTGCAGTCCCTCTGCACTCACACGCAGGCTGTGCCCACTGGGTAGTACTGGGTGGCACCGTTTGAATCCCTCCTACTACCAAGAAAAGGGTATGAGGATACTGTAGGGAACCAGAATACCCTTCAGACTTTTTGCCCAGTGGCAGGGTTTCCTTGAAGGATGGGGGATGCTGTACTAGGGAACAGAGGCGCAGGGCAGTGCAGGGTGCCCAGGGACCACTGTCAGTATTGGCAAACAATAATGATAGTGTACTAATGTATTGACATCTAGGACACTCCAGAAGTGCCTGGAGTTCTCATCAGCATTGCTGGCAGGCCACTGATAAACAAGGCACTGTCATCTTCTCAGAGGTCCATACCACTACTGCCCCAGATGGGATGCCCAACTTGGCCCAGAGGCATTTAAAGCCTCAGCTTTCCCCTTTCTCCCCTTTAGTTTTGTTAAAGCCTCAGCTTTCCCCTTTCTCCCTTATAGTTTTTGTACAGGTAGTTGAGAGACACACTGTCCCCCTCCCTGCCTGGCCCCTCCGTGCACCTGTGAGCTGAGTTGCTGTGCAATTCCAAGTCTGCTTATATTTTGGTGAAGAAGGAGGAGGTGTTGGTTACCCTGCCCCCCCGAGGGCAGGGGTTCTGTGCAATACCTGGGTCTGTGTGTCTTAGACACTGTCGTAGGATTGTATTTTTGTAACTATGTGAGGGTGCTGGCTCCAGCCGGCCCAGGGCCTGGCACGAGCCTGTGTTCCCACTGCTTTTCAACTTTGACTGTTTGGATGTTGTTGTTTCTTGCCATTGAAATAAAGAGATTGATGTTTTAGTTCCTGTCTCCTGTTGCATCCGCAAGATTGCAGTGGGCACCACACAACGGATGCCCTGCATGGCACAAACAATGTTGTTTCCCAGGGCCTCTGCCCCTGTCCAAACTTGGGGGTATTTTTGGGAGTTCCCTGCTGGCCAACGTCCTTGTTTACTTCCTAGCACAGCATCCTTCTGAGACTGTTGCTAGATACGGGGTCTTTGTCCTGAGGGATCTTCTCCATTCTGTGTCGTACATCAATGCTCAGTGTAATTTGGGAAAGGGAGAAAGTGCGCTGCCTTTCCAAGTGATCCAGGAGGCTTTGGAAGCATGAGTCAGCAGCCTGCTATTCCTCCTTGGGGCAAAGGCAGCAGCCCCAGCAGCTGCCACAGCTGTCAGTGGAAACTAGAGCAGCATCCAGCCTCCAGTTTCAAAACATTTGTTGGCCTTTTTTTGTGGTGAGCTGTCCCCAGCCATGCTGCTCTGCGGGAGATAAGCCTGCCAAGGGGCTCTTGCTTTTCATTTCCAGCTCCAGCAGGGAGTCTTGGGCTTCTGCCTCCAGTGCTGAGCACTGAGCAGGAATTATCTCTGCGACTCTGGTGGAAGGACCACTCTCTGATTACAAAAGCAGAGGATTAGGGACACTTCTGCTTCCAGGCCTCAGATTCATAAGGATGACTGTGGCCAGCACTTCTATCCTGTTGGAGTTTTCTTTGAAAAAGGAGGTAATTGCAGTGGCTGATGGCATGCTGGTGATGGAGCCAGTGGGTGATGAGGAGCTATACTCAGACTTGTATTTCTAGGAGCAGTTTGGCAGCCTGCCTAGTGCTCCTGCCAGCCCTTCTCTGCCCGGAGAAGCAGCCTCCTTCCCTGCCTGCATTGTCCCTTCCACCCCCACTGTGCCTCCCTTTCATGGTCTTCAAACTTCAGCTCCTGCCCAGAGCTAACAGTGCAGATCTCCAGCAGGCGTAAGGCACACCAAATTGTCCTGGCCTCCCCAGGGACCAGGTGTACGTGCAACTGGGAGGAGGGGGCCGCTCTGCTTCAGTGCCCAGACCCCAGCATGCTGGCGCTTGGCCCACATCTCAGCAGGGAGGCTGTCAGTAACCATGGCAATTGGAGTCTTCCAGCCGCCCCAGTGTCAAATAGCCAGTGGGGAAGAAAAGCAGTCCTGCTATGTGATCACTCTGATGAGGAGTGTTGAAGAGGGGCAGTGTACCTTTAGGGCAGAGTCCTGCCCTTCTCTCCAAAGGGTGTCGACATCCCCTCTTTCTCCTTTTTAGTCAGGTGCTGGAGGTTCGGAGGTCTGTCTGCCCTCCTGTGGGATGGAAGCACACCTGGGGTGTAGGCACCAGGTGCATGTGTGCAGGCTGAGAAAGCAATGCAAGCCCAGCCCCAGCTAAGCAGAGCTGAGGTGACAGCAGTTGGCCCTGTTAATGATTACCTGGCACACACCTCAACAAGGATAAGGTCATTCCTCTTCCATGCATGGCTGTGTCCCTGCACTGACACTGCAGCAACATCCACTACTAGTTCCCCAAGGACCAGGCCTTGACCAGAGATGGGAAATGCAGAGCTGACATGCCATGAATTAGCTTGTGACATTTTTAGAGGTAAAAAGCTCAAGTTAACCTATTGCAGGGAAATGCACCTGGGTTGATCACATTCCATCTTTTTTCCTCCTTTCCTCAGTATGAGGCCTCTTTCTGCAATCACAGCCTTTTGCTGCTTATTTGAGCTGGGGAAGGAGCCATTTCCCCCATGTCCCTCAGAAAGAGCCCAGAGGGACCAAGCACAGCCACTGCTGAGAGTGATGTGCACCAATGCATCTCTGCTCTCTCACACAGCTAGCACACAGGGCTTCACCATACCTTATGCTGGGAACTCTGGTGAGATCTTCAGCTCCTGGTCAGAAACAGCTGAAGAGAAGCAGCGGTGCTTGCTCCACACCTAGCTCTTTAACAGTTCTATAGGCCCTGGTTTGTTCATCACAGTCTCGTGATTCAGATGTGCAAACCTGATGTACACCTAAGTCCTTCTCCTTTTTTACATTGAAGCTTGTTTCAGCAGCTTTTTTCAGCTTGAGTTTAAAGGCCAAACAATGGAGGGAGGTTACTGGCTTTGCTACCTGCCCAACTCTCAGGATCCATTTCTGCATCCTGGGCTCAAACATACAGCCTGGCATCTCCACATCCCTCACCACCCAGAGCAGTACCTGTTGCTGTGTGTGCAGCAGGAAGGGGAGATGATATGTTCCCACATTTACCAGCTCCCCTCAAAATCTCTGCAGATGTTTAGGAAACTGCTGGCAGACTGGCAATTAAATGTGGCAATCTCTTGGAAAGTGATTCCTGGTTTCAAAGCAGCTCACAAAAAACAGCCCCGCCCTGCAACCCCACCTGTGGCAGCCCTGCTCTCAGCAGACTTCTTCCAGGATAAGAGGTGGAGAAGTGGCTCCATTCCCTACCAGAGCTCTGTTTTTCTTGCATGACACTCTCTTTTCTGGCTGCTAACTCCGAAAGATAATTGGCTTTGCTGCTGCCTTGCTCACCTCCCAAGAAAAGGTGGTGGATGGGGGAAAGGAATAGTCACATCTGCAAGGTCCTTTTCATCCCCCACCAGCAGTCGGATACCACTGCTTGGCCCAAGGAGAAGGGCCGCAGCATGGCTGAGCTGGGGGCAGGCAGGTGGGTCACAAGGGATGGAACTGGGGAGACGCTTGGGACAGCATGTAAGTGATGTGCTGCTCTGGGAGCTGAGCAAGTACCCCTTTTCTAGCAACTTCCCACGAGGGGCAGAGCAAGCAGAGGAGAGTGAAAAGGGCAGAGACCATGAAAGGTCGGTCCATTGATACCAGTGGCCTTGATGGAGGAGGCATCCACGGAGCTGGTGCAGACTCAGGATGGTTCCCTCTACTCCACCGAGGCCCATGGGTGCCCCCGGGGCCAGCTTCCATCGGAACTCAGAGCAGCAGCCCTCAGGGGAGACGCTATCTCACTTTTCAGCTGTGCACCCTTTTGCCACTCGTTGATGTTGGGGTGCACGGTCAGCTGAACCCGCACAAGCTTCCCTGGTACCGCACCGCGGGTACGGGTTGGGGAGCACAGCAGGAAGATGAGGGGGGACAAGGGACAGCGACGACGCCGCCGGCCCGCGCTGCCCCCGCCCCACTGGCCGAGGGGCCAGCCTGCCCCCGGGCCGGCCCTCCGCCGCCCTGCCTTTGTGCCTGCCGGGGGGCAGAGGAGGAGCTTGCGAGAAGTTTTGGGCTAAAAAGCCACCTTTTTGCTGCCAGCCGAGCCCGACGTCAGGGGCCGCTGTGCGCCGCGCGGGGCTCCGCACGCGGCCGCCACACAAAGGCAGCAGCAGCAGCTCCGCGCCGCTCCGCAGGTGAGTGCGGCCCCCGCCCGCAGCTCTCGGGGTCGGGCCCCACCGAGGTGGGTGCCCCAGGCGAGGCGAGAGGCGACCGCCCATCACTCCCCGAGGAGGCGGCAGTCATCCAGGCTGAGGGCTCCCCGGAGCGGGATGGGGCTTTGCCGGGATGGGGGAATGGCTCTGGCTGGGGAGGACCTGCAGGAGAGGGCGACTGGCGCCGGACGACCGGGGGCGGTGCCCCTCCCCCGCCAGAGCAGGATCGCCTGAGAGGAGCCAGGGAAGAGCCTGGAGATGCCGAAGGATGGAGTTTGGTAGGGAGTCAGGGCTCCTGGAGAGCAGATGGGTTGAGGCAGTGGCCCGGTATCCTACCCCCCATTCCTCGGGCGAAGCACCCCACACTGGTTCGGGGAGAACGCAGCTGGCGGAGATCTTCCGATCGGAGCCCGGGGAGCTGCCCCGAAACGGGGCTCGACCGCCGCCCGCCTCTCCGGAGGGCGAGGGGAAGGCTCTACGGGGCTCACAGCACAGCATCTACCCTGAGGAGGGAGCAGAGGGCAGAGGTGGGGAAGGGCGCTGCCTGCTCCCCTTCTGCCCTCAGTGCAGGGGCAGAACCCTTTTCCCTTGGAGCACCTTCTCGACCCTGAGAGGGGAAGGTGAGGCCGCCTGCTGGAAAGCCCCATAGCCCCCCTGCTTCCCTCAGCACCTCTAGGAAAGCCTCCTGGCTGTGCCAACGCTTTGGCTCACGGGCACACGCTTGGTGTCCCCTTTCCAGGCAGCAGGGAACCTCCTGCTGTCGCGGTGCTTGTCCTCCAGGCCACGGGCTTCCCGAGCGCTGGGCTGGCTCCTCGAGTGCCGGGCTGCCTGCCCGGAGGCTGGGAAGCAGCTCAGCCCGCAGAGGGAGGACAGCAGTCCTAAGCCCACCACTGCCAGAGCCAGCTGCAATTTGAGCCGAGCAAAGCCGAGCCGAGAGGTCCCACTATTGGAAAAGGGGCTGTGAGGGGGTGCTAGCCCAGCCGCCACTCCGTTCCCAGGAGCGCATGGGGACAGCACTGAGGGATCAGGAGCTGCGGAAGATGTGTGGGCCGTCTTAGGAGAAGTCTGTGGCACTACCTGCCCTGGAATGGTGTCTGGAGAGAGGTCCAAGCTTTACCACTGCAACAGTGGGTATTTGAGCTCTGCTTTAGCTTCACCAGGTCATTTTTCTTTTTAGAGCTTCAGCTTCACCAGGTGATTTTATTTTTGTTTTTAGAGCTAATCCTAGATCATAAAAACCCAGAGCACCTAGAGGAGGGGGAAGAGAGAACAGGGACTGATGTTATGTGAGAGCCAGGCAGCATATGAGGAGGAGAGAAGCCAGAGCCCCGCAGGGATGCAGGAGGAATAGGGCTATGCAGGCATGCCTGAAGGTACTATCAGCCCAGCCAGGAAAAACTTTTGTTTGCCTAGCTGTTTGGAAAACCAGTTAGGAAACTACACTCCCTTTTCCTTATGAATGCTTTAGGATGAGCCATGACTGAAGGCCTCTGCAAACCTTTGCCTGGGGAATGCAATATGCTGGGCTGAGCCTGGGAGCAAGTTCAGGGGTCCCTGGGGCTGTAGCTGTAGCTGGTCATCCCCTCAGAGGCTATCCTTCTAGCGTCCCTGTGTAT